ATATATATGCATTGGACATTCACCATTATGATGTGCAGACTTATGCACAAAGATCCAATCATAGTATGATATGAAATAAACATTGGACTGTCACCATAAATATGTACAGACTTATGCACGAAATTTCTATCTCCAAATAGTATCATTACAAATATTTAAGCTATGCACATGCACCATTATGATGTGCAGACTTATGTACAAATATCAAACTCAACACTGAGATATGATATCATATGAAATCTAAACACACTAGACATTTAACATGTGCAGACGTATGCACACCAAAATCCAATATAAGTATGATATGATATGAAATATATATATATGCATTGGACATTAAACATTATGCCGTGCAGACTTATGCACAAAGATCCAATCTCAGTATAATATGAAATGAAATAAACATTGGACTTTCACCTTAAATATGTACAGACTTATCTACGAAAATCCAATCTCCGAATGGTATCATTAACAATATGTAAGTAATGAACATGCACCATTATGATGTGCAGACTTGTGCACAATAATCTCAACTCAACATCGAGATATGATATTAAACGAGATTCAAATGGACATTCAACCTTATAATGTGCAGACTTATGCACAAAGATCCAATCTCAGTAGGATATTATAAACAATGCATTACACTTTCACCATAATGGTGTGCAGACTTATGCATAAATATATAAACTCAACCCTGAGATAGGATGTCATATGAAATCTAAATACACTAGACATTTAACCTGCACAGACCTATGCACACACAAAATCCAATCTCAGTATGATATAATATGAAATATAAATATATATGCAATGAGCTATCTCCATTATGATGTGCAGACTTATGCACAAAGATCCAATCTCAGCATGATATGAAATGAAATAAACATTGGACTGTCAACATGAATATGTACAGACTTATGCACAAAAAACCAATCTCCGAATGATATAATATTAAATATGTATGTAATGAATATGCACCATTATGATGTGAAGACTTATGCACAACAAATCCAATCTAAGTATGATAACATATGAAATATATATGCAATGGACATTCACCATTATAATGTGGATACTTATGCACAAAGATACTATCTCCGTATGATATGATAACAAATATGTATATAATGAATATGCGCCATTATGATATCCACATATTTGCACATTAATCTAATCTTATTGTGATATCATATACAATATATTTTACTTTCACCATTATGATGTGCAGACTTATGCACAAATATCAAACTCAACCATGCGATATGATTTCTTATGAAATCTAAATACACTATTTAACCCTTATGCACACTTATGCACACAATCCAATCTCAGTATGATATAATATAAAATATAAATATATATGTAATTAGCAATCTCGATTATGATGTGCAGACTTATGCACAAAAAATCCAATCTAAGTATAGTATCATATGAAATATATATATATACATTAGACATTAAACATTATGCCGTGTAGACTAATACACAAATATCCAATCTCAGTATGATATCTTATGAAATATATATAAATTGAAAAGTCACCATTACGATGTGCAGACTTATGCACAACAAATCCAATCTAGGTATGATATCTTATGAAATGTATATATATATACATTGGACTTTCACCATTAATATATACAGACTTATGCACGAAAATCCAATCTCCGAATGATATAATAACAAATATGTATGTAATGAATATGCACCATTATGATGTGCAGACTTGTGCACATTAATTCAATCTTATTGTTATATTATATACAATGCATAATACTTTCACAATAATGATGTACAGACTTATGCATAAATATATAAACTCAACCCTGAGATAAGATGTCATATGAAATCTAAATACACTAGATATTTAACCCGCAAAGTCTTATACACACACAATCTCAGTATGATATAATATGAAATATAAATATATATATATATATGTATATATATATATATACATTAGACATTAAACATTATAATGTGCAGACTAAAATAAACAAATCCAAGCTCAGTATGAAATCATACGAAATATATATGCATTGGACATTCACCCTTATGATGTGCAGACTTATGCACAAATACATAAACTTAACACTGAGATATGAAATCGTATGGAATCTAAATACATTGTACATTCAACATCTGAAGACTTATGCACATTTATCTAATTTCAGTATGATATCATTTATCATACATTGAACTTTTACCATTATGATGTGCAGACATATGTTCAAAAATGTAATAAAACTAACGTTGACATGTTGTATTAAACGAGGCCTTACTACATTGGACCTTAAAAATGTGCAGACTTATTCACACAAATCTAAACTGAATGTCACGAAACGACAGTAATCCAAATACAATGGTCATTCTCCATATGATGGTTGACTTTTACTATTATTGGCCTTATAGGTTTGTGTAATAATATGATTTTGTATTTACCACAAGTGGCATAGTGAGCCTTACTTGTTAAAGAAAGTTAAACATATTGATTATACAAGAGGGACTGAGCTGCGTGTTGGCTTAAAACTTTAAACGTGCAGTTTATCCTTTCTTATGACACTGCATTTCAGCCCCGTACGTTTCTTGTTTGCTATCCTCTACACAGTCTCTTATACTGTTCAACGTCAGTACGTGAGGACATGATACGGGATTCGACACATGTGTAACCATGTCCATAACTAATATGCATTAGATATTCAGTTTTTAGGCCTATTTAGGCCTATGGTTATTTTGATGGTCAGTAGTAGTTTATTGTATTAATGCCGATGATTATCTGATGGTCAGTCGTTATTAATTGTATAGGCCTATGATTGCCTGATGGTCAGTAGTTATTAAAAATACTTAGGCCTCCGATTATCTGATGGTCAGTAGTTATTGAATTATTATTGGTTTCCTAACACTCCATTGACAGCCCAGTCCAAGTCTTTAGATATATTTTCAAAATTTCTTAATTATAATGGTGCAATTGTTAGCTCTCTTTATGCACCATTTAGGTGAAAAGCTAACAAATATTTTCTTTTCATCAGAGCTAGTTCATATGTTCCATCCATACACCACCTAATTCAATATCATTAAAAATCTTCTTCAGCTCGGTGAAGCTTCCGCCTGTCTTGTTTTTCCATATGGAAAGACACTCCCTCGTCGCTTTCTGATAGGTGCTACCGGGCGTGTGCAGAATAGTTGATGCCTTGTTGTACACGATACCGAGTCTATAGGTCAGGTGATGGTATTTATCGTGTGGGACGTGGTCTGCAAGAGTATCCAGTGTTCCATCTGATACCTTGACACTATACAACAAGGATTTAAACAATAAGGAAATATTATGTCAAGTAGTTATAAACCCAATATGAATTTCGCCAAGTCTTATTGTCACAGTTTCCATGAGCAGCTATTTTATTAATTTAGGTGCAAGTATTTTGATAATGCATTTGTTAAGCTTACACTAGGAGCGTGAGTTGTCATTGGAGACTTCGTCAATTTAAATCTCAATGTTTTTTTACTTTTGGGGTCGATATCCCTCTGTAAGATCTCGAGGGCTTTGGAGCATTCCTCCGCCAGGATTTCGGATATCAAATGCTTCCTCGCTATAACTTCGAGCCTCTCTTCGAATATTGGAAGCCTTTTAAAGCATGATTTGTTTAATTTATTTATTTATACATTAAATTGTTTTATTATCATATATATTTTTTTTAATAATCATTATTCTTTCTTTTTTTCCCCTTTTTTCGGGGGGGGGCGAAACATATTCTAAATGTCAACTTTTGCATATTTGTTTGTTTTTGCGTTGTTGATCCAAGTACTCAACAATGTCAAATATACACTTCTGAAAATTGACGTTGTAATTTCGTCAATTATTACGAAATCATATTCTATGTTTATTTCCCCTTCTGTTTTGTATAAGGGGATTGTACTAATACACCTTAAAATACAAATCTGAATTGTAGTCATAATGGTTGTTGATAAAGCTATTGCAAAACCGTTTTTACCAGAACGCCAACAATCCTCGTTTTAGACACGATTGATCTATGCTGGATTATAGTAGAGAAGTATCTAATAAAGATATCTGAAAACATCATTATCATTTAAGATATATATTATCCCATCAATGAGATTTGAATGAAGAATGATTAGCGATTATCCACAGTTATGTAGCGATTAGGAAATAATTTTCACCTGCTTTTAGAAGTAGGAACTTCATCGGCTGGCGCTGATGCATCTTGAGGGGGGGTGCCAGTTGATATGGATGCCGATGGTCCCTGGGTTGCGGAATCTGTTTTTGCAGGTGATGGAAGAATGGGAAATTATGTTAACTTCGTAAAGAATATTTATACGGTTATATTTTTTTATTGATTGCTTAATCATGTTGAAGATATTTATTTACAAATTAAATAAACAAATGAACATGTTCAAGTGATTCAATCTTGTTACCTTAATTTGAATATATGATAATCGTAATCATGTTACGTAGTATACTTCAATACCGTCTTTAGACAGGAAACAAACATTGTCAGAACATCCTCTGCATGAAACGTTCATCGTTCTTCGACACGGAAGTATTTAAATGCAAGGGTTTTAATATAAATCACATTTGATTATCTTCACGTTAAAGCATTCAAGTTTACAACAAATAAGATGTTGAGCTGCAAAAAGAAAGAAAATCTACTCAATATTGATATTTTATATAGGCTTTCCAAATACTAGGATTATAGTTTGAATGCTCACATGAAAATATACTTTGAGTGTACTGTTCATGCATCCGCATAATTATGACATTGATTTCACTTGAGGAGTGCTTTTTTGAACACGTGTTTGGTGTAAATAGTAACACAAAAAGTCAAGACTCCCGTTTCTATCTCATTCGTCATTAATAATAAATATTTCAACTAGTCTATATTCAGAAGGTAAGCATTGAAACCAAATGTTATCAACTTAAGTCACCTTTGGTGTTATCTTTTAAAATGAAACATAAATCGCTTTATCATGATGAAGCGTTTATTTTTTACATGCCTCCAAACTCCCAAAACTGGTCAAATGTCCTAAAATGATGAATTACATGAATGGCAAACATTTGTAGAGTTCTCGGTTGACTTGATTCTATTTGATATTATTTACCTTCTAAGTGCATAGGAACTAAGAGCTCCTTCGTTGTGCTTTGTTTCAGGATGAAGTGTAATATCACTTTATTCTTGTTAGTAGTTCGTGTATCCACTGTGAACATCACTTTATGCTCCGTCAGGTTGCGAATCTCACTTTCCTGTAGAGTCTACCAAAAAATCATAATATTTGTGTGTGTGCATATCTCTCTATTCATTGTACATATATGTATGTACGCATTTATGTATTTATGTATATAAAACTTAGCAATCAACTGTATAAATTGTACGTAACTCATCGGACAAAAATGCTGCTGAATGGACTACAGTTTTATTGGAAGTATTGGAATGACCCACTTGCTGACTCTCTTCTTTCAGACCTAGCTACCTTGGAAAACGAATTTGTACATTTTTTAGATCTCTTTAAAGTATAAGGCTGCAGGATTAGATGAGAACGGTCCAATCGTCAATGAATATGTAAAACTATATTTTAACCATTCTGTCATATATTAAACACGTTATTATACAAATAAAATTATAAAAAACTCTTATACGAGTTGATCAAAATATTGAGGAATCTGGGTAGCACAAACTGTCCACTGCATTTTAGGTTAAATGTTTACCAACTAATTTTGGACAATTGGAACTGCCAAACAACAGATAACCAACCATACAATGCCCTAACTCCCGAATTTCCAAATTACTGGTTACGTAGTCTATGGTCAATAAATACATTGCTAAATTAGTTTTCCCACAAAAGTCATTATCTAATTATATCGAATATTGAGTACATGGAGTACCTAATTGCAAAGGAGGCATTTTCCCAACTCGTAAAAGCTTAGATTTTGGGCAGTGATTATCTAACTTTCATTTATTCAACTGATACTGAGCAATCCAAATGCATGACAACTTTAAACAGATTGATTTAAACTGCTCATATGAATGTTACCGTGACCTCGTCTTCCTTGGGGGTACTTTCTTTGCAAGTTATCCTTAATCCTCCAGAACGCCACTTCACTAAGAATTGTTCTCCGGTGATCGGAGCCATATATCCATGCTGCTCCTTGAGAATAATAATGTTAAGAAAAAGTGATGAATAGTGAAAATGCATTTCCACTCAATGCATTTCGATTCAAGGAGAAAAGGAGAAAGGGGAAATGAAAGAACAAAAAGAAACCAGAAAATGACGTTGACACATGGTTATATCGAATTCAAAAACTGCAGAAGTTTAGTAGTCAAAAGTCTAAATGAGGATATACCAACAATAAGAATCTGCAAACATTACTAAAGATATTTCAGCATTTATGATGAAAATAATGTTAAAAACAATAATGATAACAGTATTGTCAACTTTTTAACATCAATTTATTTTACAAACTTGCACAACAATTAAAGGAGATGCGATAACAACCCAGAATATAACCAATGTATTGGTAGATGCAGGGCAACAAAGTACATTATAGAGAAAGGGGATAATGAAATAACAAAAAGAAAGACAAGCAAGGGAAACGCTCTTGGCGGTCTCGCCTGCATTACGCAATTCGATATGATGAAAAATTGAGGTTAGGACATTACTTGTAGGCAGGTCGTCCCATTAGCAGGCCCCAAAAAATGAAATCCCCTGAATATAATCAGCGTTTTGAAGTGAATATTGACTAAGAACCATCAGAAGAATTATTTACTATTATTTGTACCAAGATTGATAATTTGAATGAAATATGAATAAATAACACAAATTGATTTATCAATACTCATAATAAGCTGTGAAAAAACTTAATCCAAGTCTACTGACCTAAAATGACCTGTGAACTTGAATTTGTGACTTGGAATTTGTGTCCAAAAATTGGGATACTTGATAACCCTTGGGTACAAGTTTCATGAAATTTGAAAGAACACTTTTAAATTATGCTAAAAATTCAAAATCTTGATATTGATGCCACAAAAAAGTTTAAGTTTGCAGACCTGAAATGACGTTTGTCCTTGACTTGTTCACATGAAAGACTAATCACATGATTAATGCCTTAGCAAAGGGCAGTAGCGCATCGACTTGAACTGGTCTCGAACTACAGTCTCGGATTAAGAGACCATTGCTCTACCGACTGAGCTATCGCGCCTCCTCTAGTCTAAAGTCTAAGTTTGTTTACCTAAAATGACCTTTAACCTTGACTTTATGACCTGAAGTTCTACTCACATGATTGGAAATACTTGATAACCCTTTAGTCCAAGTTTCATTGAATGCGAACTTAAACTTTTAAAATTATATTAAAAATTCAAAAACTGAACCGTAGGTAAAGCTTTTGATGTTGACGCCGCCGCGGCCGCCACGCTGATCCCGGAAAAGCGGCGCCTGTGTCTCGCTGTTGCTATGTAGGCGAGAAAAAAACGCTTGAACTATAAATGCAAAGCCAAAAAATGACGATAAAGTGAGCTGGAAGAAAAACAAGAAGATAGTAACACGAAAGAAGAAAAAACTAACCTCTAGTTTTCTGGTGTTTGCATTTCTTACATGGACAAACAACACGTGTTCATCATTCTTCAGAGTTGACACAGGAATATATGGTGTACAAATCACACGTTTTCCGATGAATGTCTTTCTGATGATAGCTACAATCCAAATTTCGGAGAAATGGTTCAAATAGATATCTAGGTCGTGATGTCTTACAACACATCGCGGGCTCCCATTGGTAGAAGGAATCGCCGTAAAATCTTCAGAAGCTGTCCATGCAAAATACCAACAAAGACATCTAGTAAACGTACGTTTACCTAAACCCTTTAATATCATAAAAACCATATACTTGTATTTCAAATTCAACAAAAGGTATCGCAATTCTTAAATTGTATTACAAAATAAAGGAGCCATGTCTTTACTTCTCTAACAGTTATCATATTTCTTTGCCTCATTCCAACCATTACTATGTCTTAGGGTTTGAAAGGCGTTTTGGGGGATAAAAAACAGCCATAATTATACGTTTGTATTTGTGCAATTAACTTCCTTGAGCATATCTATTACTTTATTTAATGAACAGCAATGTGAATGGGAATGAGAGAGAGAGAAACATTGAGAAAGACAAGACTTTACCATTCTTGCGATAATATGTGACGATTTCCGCAGCATCTGGCTTTGTGAATATACCACAATGGGGCATCGTTACTGTCACCGGAACGTCAAAGGTAGCATTAGAGGGCGACATTTTCAAGCCGACGGTAATGATGGCTTCTGTTTCCTTCAGTACCAACTCAGGTGGAATTTCATGGATTGGTTCGACGGTGACATCCTTTGCTCTGTAAGCCTCGCTTGGTGGAATTCTTACTTCAATACCATGCTTCTCAAGCCGAATCATGCCAGTATCCTCACTTAAATCCTCTCTGCTTTCAAGATTTTGAACTGGGATTTCATCCTGGAGAGCGTTCGGTGAAGAGATATGGTGAACGGACTCTATTATCTGTCCCTCGTCATCTGTAGGTTCTGAAGTGTACTCATGCGGTCTGAAATCCGCCGGCTTTACTCTTTCTCCAGATTCCATCCATGCAAAAATGGCTTGCTTGGAATGCTCTCTTTCTGTAAATGATTTAAGGTACACTTCTAGTAATAATTATGGATTTGTATAGCGCCTTTTTGCCGAAATAAAATCCTATTTTTGAAAAGAATTACGATCGTTGAGGTTGTTGGACTTTTTAAAGAATAATTTTACAACAAGACTAAACAATAATAGATAGAAGATAATGTTGTACCTGACAAGCTTGCATTTAAATTATACTTAGGGGATTTTAAAAAAAATCGTTTCATTAATATTGTATGAAACCGAACATGTATAAACATGATTCAATTACAGCACTTTGGAAAATCATCCGTTTCTTTACTTGCCCCCCCCCCCCAAAAAAAAAAAAAAAAAAAAAAAAAAACGTGACGGACATGTGCGCTATACAAGAAGCCACCATTATTATTATTATTATTATATAAGGGGATGCCTACCTTCATCTTCATGATGCTTGTGAATACTCAGACCTCTGAAAGGAAAGACAGAAATTGTAGGGAATTGTCAAGGAATATCCAGGTACAGACAAAAAATACTTTAGCAATCTAAGATTCTATTATTAACCCGAGATTCATTTATCCTTTTGAAGAAGAAAAAAAGGTCCGTTGATTCAGTGGATCGTTATTACGACATTTTATATGATTATCCAAAATCGAAAATAATACCAAAGAAGGTGTAGAAGCCGTCAATAAAAAGACAGGCCTTATCCCGACCTCACTGGGGATAAGACCTTGATAGGCCTTCGACCCTCCACATATTGTTCTTTACTGAATCTTTTTATTTATAATGTAATATTTTGATGATTATTTTCTCCATTGTTTTACTTATTTTACTGTATTTATGGTTTTTGTGGGGATAAATAAATTGAATTTAGTTTTCGCAATTCTAATTACAAGTAATTAGGGTAAGCCCATGCATGGGAAACAAGAGAAAGGCAGGAAATATACCTTTGAACTCTGTCAGGTATGTGTCTAGAAGTTGAGAAAGTCCGTTTACGCGCACGAGCTAAATCGGGAATGTGTGCGCCATCTGAAATTAACATTAAACAAATTAAAATTACAGTATTATAAATATCTGTCCGAGACTCAACGACTCAACTCGACACAAAAAAACAAAATTTTGTCTCCTTGCAAGAATCTTGTAATTAATTCACAAACTACCTTTGAATGTTGGAATGGTATGTAAAAGGAGGATGCGTGAAGCGAGCCCACCTAATGCTATTGAGAAATACTTCCCAATATATTAAATTTACTAATTATTACATGTAACAAATAACTAGGGTATACACCTTTTTCATTCTATGTTATTCGACAATTAGAAGAAGAAATTGAATACAAGACAGGGCAACTTACAACGTTTCGGAAGGCAACCCTCCACCTCCTCCTCCAGCAACGTGCTGAAACTGATAATAATAATAACACCATCATCAACAACACTACTAAAAATAATGATAATAATAATAGTGATAATAATAATAGTGATAATAATAATGATAGTGTAATAATAATAATAATGATAAAAAGATTATTATTATGATCATGATAATAATGATTATGATAATAACGATAATATATAAAACTGTTGTTCACCCATGGAAGCCTCATCAGCCTCATTGCTTTTATTCCTGAGGACCTGCAATTAATTTTACTCATGATTCTTTTGGATTTGTTTTTCTAGTCTCGGGTCAAAGGGAGAGAGTTTTATCGCAAATTACAAAAAACGCCAAATCCATGCTGGATCTGATATAACTTTTCCTCAAAACCCGTTTAATCAGAACATATTTTAGGTTAAAACACTGTACTTTGGCAAAATGCTATAAGCCCATTTAAGTTATGTATCTGATAGAAGCTGGAAACTAATAATACATTTTGAAACGCATTTCAATTCATTTTTTGTACCTGCTTAACGAGTCGCTTCTGACACTAGGAGTGTTAGGTCGCTTATGATAGAGGCTCTCTGCCCAGTGCCGCCTTGCTCCTGGAATCTTTGGAAGTTAAAATAATCATCACCAGTTGCTAAGTAACTTATTAGACATATTTAAATGGGTTACAGCAATACTAGTGTTAATCTTTTTTCTCCAAATAAAGTCTTTATTCAATACTTCTCAAAGCATGAAACATTATAAAGCAAATGTACAAAAATGAAGGATACATACATTTCACAGAGAAAGGTGAAGGAGAGAAAGAGGAGGTTGTTTCGAATGGCTGTGGCATAAAAGTGATTATTCATTACTGTTCCCTCAAGGACTGATATTTGATATCTGAAATTATTTCTCAGCACTGCTTGTTGACAGTCAATTCACTCACTCGGGGTCGTAGCCCGGTGGAGGAGCCTTCCATGTTTCATCGAAGGGCTTAAGTGAGGATCTATAATACAGGTTATGACACTCCCTTTGCTGTTTCTCCTATGTAAGCAGACACCTTCTATGTTATTTGGGACAGATTAGTGTCAAACTCATTTATCTATTATACATTTTCCTAACTATTATATCATCACATTCAATGTCTCGAATTCAAACTCAGTGTCTATACAAGTTCCCCATCTACATGAGTTCAAGAGAAATTAATAGTAGATCACCACGCCACGAGATTATCTTTCTGTCCTGTCAAATAAAAACCTAAATATGCTGAAAGAGTCGTAAATGTGGTTGTCTGCTTTAATACAGGTCTCTGTATAAACAATATGCATTGATCACGACTAGACTAACGTCGAGCCCACAAATAAGTGGTAAAGATCTTGGGCCCGTTTCATAAAGCCTACCATTGATGGTAATTTTGCCATTAATGGTAACGTCAATGAAAACCTTAATTTGATTGGCTGTTGAGTAACGTTGACATGGTAGATAATGCTGATGGCAAAGTCTCTAGAAATATTAACGACAAACATCTACCGTGTGGAAACACTCACCTCCACCTCATACGCATGTAGGCCCACTGTCGGAATGGCTCTTGGTTCTTCACGAAGGAATTCTTCTTCGAAGAAGTCTTCCACATTTGTGTCATGTTTCTTTTCTTTAGAGGGAAGGTAGAAATATAAAAACCATAAAGATGTGTTTAACCTTATTTATCAGTTAAATTAGAAGAATAAACTGTATTGTACGATTCCTCATTGTTTCTAAAGGTTCTGTTTATCCTTTGGTCTTTTTTTAGAATGAATCTAATTGTGTTTTAACATTTTAGTGCGCTCTTACCCGCTCTTCGTCGTTGTTTCAAAACAGGGGCTGAATCTCCTGAATCGCTCACGGACTTCCACACTTCTCTTAGATGATCGTCTGCTATGGAGACGGAATGCTGCAAGCATTTCCAATAGCGGATCATGCAGATAGCAGCCTTTTGATTTGGGGTATACACCCCAGTCTCCTTATGTTGTCTGCTTCTGAACTGGATGATGTCAAGTGTCTGGTAGGACAAACCCAATGCTAGACCAAGATGGTAGTACTGATCAGTGTTTATCTCTTTTGTGATGAATTCTTCACTCGGAGTGTCTTCGGCTTTGCTATAAATGAAAATACAGGGAGAAGAGAGACTGATAAAATAGAATGCCGTTATTTCACTGATTATCAAAGCTAGATAATATCGTCACCTAGTATCCCATCTAGATCTCAGTTAGGAGATACTACCTCCAATATCTGACTTCGAGTCTGTTCTGTTCATGGTCGTGATCCTCTAAGCTGGATATTGTTTGCCGATAAGAGCGTTTGCATTCGAGAGTGTGTTACCTATTTCATACATTTTGGAGTATAATCCCATCACTTTAAAATTACATGAACATAGTCAAGAAAGCAAAATTCATATTGTCACTTTTAATTGCATTCCAGGGGCTGATCTTGAACTTTTTTTTTACAGACTTGCAGATTACCACTTCAGGAGGAAGTAGATTCGAGGCCTGAATGGTTCTGGGGAGAAGTTGATCAGTTTTGAATCTCATGTTGGAGGAGATGAGGTGGCATCCCTTTAGGATATTATGAGGTTGTGTAATGTAGTTCAGTTTTGAGTATGGCGATTTGGTCATGAATGGCTTTGAAGAAGGGTTAGTGCCCAGCCACAGGTCGTCGTTTTTGAAGTTGTTGCCAATACTTTTCACTATTCTGATACGGTCTTATACATGGACGTCCATTCCCATTTAATGGTCAGTGACAAGTTTGGCTCCTCCTTTCTAAACAAATCCTCAGGTTTGTTGATGTGCTTGGTTTAATTTAAAAAAAAAGGATCATATATGCTACATGCGTATTTACCATGTTCAAGATGAAGACTTACTAAAAATGAGGAAAAAAAGAGTGAATGCAGCTCTCTGAATATTCTTGGTTGAGAGGCCGGATGGTTTTCATCCCAAGCATTGCATTGGTGAGCTCTTTATCTGCTTGGTTCTCCAACAATAAGTTTTGGTCAACTCCGAAGTAAGAATGTCGGTTTAACTCGTTGAGAGTAGTACCGTTCATTGTGTATATTCGGTTGATAAGGTTTAGCCTGTTCTTGAAAATTCGAGGAACATTTGGAGGACTTGGCAACGTTGAATTTCCTTTGTCACTAAATCATTTCAATTGCCCGCCCAGCTAGATAGCCTATTCAGATCGGAATGGATGATTTGGGTGTCATTGGTCGACTTGATCGCCCGGTAGAGGATGCAATAATCTACAAATAGCATCGTACTCGACGAGATGTTTCCATTGATATTGTTGATATAAAGAGGAAGAGTAACGGCCCTATGGCAGAACCCTTTGGGACGCCTGACAATACTTCAGCCGAGTCTGAAGCATTTCAACTAAGTTTTGTGATGTTGATGTCAGCGTGTTCTCTATCCACTGCAAAAGTTGTACCCCCTGATGACTGAACTATTAGTGTTGCATTTAATTTTAGCCAGACTTTCATATCTTTTGGATTTGTCTCTACTAGTTCTTTCAATAATAAAGTAACAGATTATTAATCAATCTCGTGTACTGATGTTCAAATTTGTAATCTGACACGATCTTAATTATGTTTTTCCATTTTGTTAATGTTATATCTCAAAATAATATAATAA